GCGATGCTCAGGTACAGAAGACAATTGTACACGAATGATGTATCGCGTATAAGAAGTTCACATCAAGAACAGTATAAAAATGTTTGGAAACGTTCATTCGACCGATCGTGGTAGGTTAGTGTTAACGTGTCGGTTTACACTTGCGTGTAAAAAATTTCAATGCTTAAGAAACAGATATTTATAGAGAGAGGAGGGATGCAATTGCTGCCCCGCACCTCCCCTCGCGTTGGGCGCGCCACTGCTTCAAGGCCCATCGCTACTTGCGAAAGCAAACGCGAGCGGGAGCGCTGAAAATCTCCGTCGGCCAGCCGGAACGCGGCACGGAAACGCGAGCGAGAGAGCTAGACAATGGCCGAGGGAAAATTCCGTGCATCGCGGCCACTAGTGCACGCGGATCGATCGCGGGATTGCGACACCGAACGCGCCTATCGATCCCGTGCCTCCGTCTAGTCATTCGCTTATTCTTCGACAACCCGCGAAATCGCGCCGCTTGCGCGCCCGAGAATCTCTCCAGTGGCATTCGTTCCAATTCGCTTTATCGCCGGCCAGACGCGACGTTAAAAACTCTCTCCTAAATAAGCGCGAGACGCTGGACGTGTTACGTAACCTCGTCGAGAGGCGCAATATCGCGGGCACGGGTAATCTCGCAAGTCCGGGACTATTCAGAAAACGCACTCGTTCTCAACGCACGAGCATCGCTATTAACACGTTGATCGCCACGTCGCCCATATATGGGTGACAGTGCTTTCCACCGAAGAACGAACAAAATTAATTCGGAATGTTAAGTATCAACGAAAATAAATTCGAATGAAATTCTTAACCTTCACTGAAGTTATAAAAATAAACACTACAATAAATGCTTGATCGCGTAGCTTCCAATAGTCTGGAAACGAAACTTAATCACGGTAGAAATTTTCAAGAATATTAGCATGACAGTGAACGCGTTAAACGCGAACATTAATTCTTTGCCTTTACCTTCGCGTATTTACAATTACCTGGTTTAAAGCCTAGTTTAAATAGGCTCGTAATTCTGTTATGTTGATGTAAAAATTGTCGTGCTTCGTACATTTTCGCTATTAAAACATTTCTATTTAGAATTCTGCGCTACTGGAATTCTATTTTGCGCGAATCGTTTTTACTGGGCTCCCCAACGGACACGTTACGCAACAACCAGTGTTTTCCAAAGCGGAGGTCGTAACCCCTCGCTGTGGGGGAGGGACGCCTCACAATCTTTGCGAGCGAGGGGAGAGAAGGGGTGGAAGAAAATTTTTAATAACGTTACTTGACACGAATAGCTTAAACATTCGTTTCTAAATGTTTCTATCCACACGTCGTCAAAGTTCAACAACAGCTGAAGTATAGTTTCCTCGTGTCATTTTAAATACCTCTCATCTTGAGCGCAGTACTATTTTCCTTTTGGTTATCGAATTGGCTGCCTTGGTAATCTCGTGTTAATAATATTTCGGTTAGATTTACAGATCGCCAATTTTCAGCGCTCGCTCCTAACGTTCGCTTTCGCGCGCTCGCGTCAAGGATTCTCCGATCAAGCGACTATCCGGAGGCGATACGCGGAGCAGAATTTGCATAGAATCTCGCGCGACACGGCTGGAAAAAATGCGGCCAAACCTACGGGCACCGAGCCTAGAAAGTCGAGCGAAATTTCCCTCGGTCGTATATCCGTGATCCTCGTTCACTTTCAAACGCAAAATTTTAAATTTGTCTGCAATACTTGAAACTCGAAATCCCCTTTAGTCCCCATCTACATGTTAAAGTGTTATTTCTCATCTATTTAGTATGTATCCATTGAAAAATAATTTTTCTTTTGTTCGGTAAAAAAGGTAGTTCCACAGAGATTAAAATATATATGATATCTTAAAATAACGATAAACTAAATTATTAACGATAATAATAATTGTTAATAGAATACCAAACTTTAAATAATTCCGAGCAATTTCTTCGTACCTAAGATATCAAAACCATAAAAATGAAATCAAAGTTGCCCGAGATGAATTTAAGGCCCCATAACACAGTGCGCGCGCGGTAAGTGGGTGTATTTTTAATAATTTTTTTTCGAGCAAACGATGAATGTTTTTTTTTTTTTTTTTCATTGATACTTCTATCCAATATATACATAAATAAGACACTACAGAAATTTTCTTATCCAAATATTACGAATAGTTTGCGGTGTACGCCGCTACCAAAAGGACACTCTGCCGAAGTTGCTGCTTGGCGGTTGACAGCGATTAAGCCATACGGTTCATCTGAAGAAAAAAAAAATATATATATATATTTATAAACTAGACATATAGGTTTATAGCATCAAGTAGGGAAATTCCAATATCTAGAAGAAAAAAAAGTGGCGGACCAACGAATTTTATTTGTCCCATTTTCACAGACAATTTTCATTGTTTACGAATAAAAATAAAATAGAAGGGGATCCTTTATAAAGAAATCCCTACGTGGTGATGTAAACCTATATGTCTAGTTTATAAATATATATATATTTTTTTTTCTTCAAATGAACCGTATAGTTTAATCGCTGTCAACCACCAAGCAGCAACTTCGTCAGAGTGTAGCGGTGTACATCGCAAACTATTCATAATATTTGGATAAGAAGATTTGTGTAGTGTCTTATTTATGTATATATTGGATAGAAGTATCAATAAAAAAAAAAAAAACATTCATCGTTTGCTGGAAAAAAATTATTAAAAATACACCCACTTACCGCGCGCGCACTGTGTTA